TTCTCAACTTAGCAACTTATCTTACTTTAGACTTAAAAATACGAAAGTGCATATTTAACTAAAGCGCTATTCATTATTTCGTGATTGTGGTTTCCTTTTAGGAAACCCCTGAAAAATCCATTTGAAGAGGGCCTGCTGTTGCAATTTACTATGAAAAATGGATCGATCATATGGATGTCGATCACTCAAATTTCATAGTAAAAAATTTACCCCTGTGATCTGCGTGACAAATCGTGTGACTGATATCATATTCGTAATTACGTTATCAAATTAAACTACATGAGTATTTATATTATATACTGTATTTTTCAATAAAATTTTTCACGTAGATTATTTTTAAAGACCGAAAAAAATAGACAAAGAAGTTACTATTTTCTATATTTCTTGAATAAAAAGGTTATCTTTACTAAAAACTGTTCGGTAAGCAATAAACATGAAATTTTGATGACCAGTTTTCTCCACTGCATTAAAAAATCCTTATTTTATTTTATACGTTAACAAAAAAACGAATGTAAGTGATATTTGACGTAATACAATATAAGTGAAATAAAATTATGTGATTTTGTTTACGGCTGTTTGCCGAAACAATTTTTATCGGCTGTTCCAGAATTTATGAGAACAGCTGTAACCACACTCTATCAAATAATTTCTATGCTCCTGGCAATAAGTTAATAATAACTAGTTATAAGAAAAATAAATAATTATAATATATGAGATTTTTTTAGCAGTACAAATTAAGAATAAAACAAATAATTAAATTAGAAAATTTGTGTTAAATTAGTTTGAACTTAGAAAAGAAATTATGTAATTAATATGATTTCTAGATAAACTAATGATTTTGACTAGGTTATCATATGATCCAATTCTGGATTTGAAAAGGGAAAGAAGAAAAATTAAAATAAGTTTTAAGAAAAAGTTTTAAAGTGTGGTATTAGATAAATTAAAATATATCTTGTATGCACGAGGAAATAAAAGTGTCAGAAATAATTAAGCATTACGAATAACGAAAATATATCAAAAATAAAACTACCAACTACCCCAATGAAAATACATTATTTACGTTAACCAATATTCAAGAGATCGTAAATTTTTCGATTATTATAACCCTGAGCCAAGTATCTATTACAGCTGTTTTCAAGGTTGTTTATGAATGATTCTGACCTGTAAATCTTCACAAATATTGGCTGTTGAATTTCTGATTTTAAGAGGTGCATTCATATCCACAAGTTCAACATCAACCTTTCTATAAAGTAAAGCCAATAATAATTTCCTATCGTGCTTAATATGCACTGCTTATTTAGTCTGTGAATATAGCGATCGTTTATCAAAGTGTTTATTTTTAAGATAAGCTATTCACTTATAAAGACGAAAAATTCAACCGAAATTATTTAAAACAAAAAAACCATCCAGAAATATTAACTAGTACAGTCAACTCTCGATATAACGAACATACCATCTAATAAACCTTTTTATAACAAACATACCATCCAACGAACCTTTTTATAACAAGTCACGAACTTTTTCCCACTAAAGGTTTTGTATATAAAACATAATAATTTACTATATAATTAATTTTAAATATTTCTTATTATAAAAAACCATAAGGTCGTTATTAAGAGAGTTGACTGTATAATATTTCATATAATAGTCATGAATTTTTTAAGTAACATTATTGATATTCCTACATTATTATTATTATTATTATGTTTTTACATATTTCATTTTTATTACAAACATTTTACTCGTCCAAATCCATTATCTGGTCCATTCCCAATTCCTTTGATAGGAAATTTGGAAATTCTTAATAGTAGTACTAATATAGATATTGATGAATGGGCCTATAATTTAAATAAAAAATATGGACAAGACGGAATCTTTGAATTTAATATGGTTGGTATTAGGTATATAATGATTAATCGTGCAGAGTATGTGAGTAGATTTATGTTATCGGAACATGATGATCATTCGAAACATTTAATGAGAACTAAGAATAATGGACTTTTGGATTTTTATGGTCTTAGTACCAAAGGAGTTGCATTCAATTTTGATTATAATTCTTGGAAATTTAATCGTCAACTTTTTGCTCGAGCTATGAGGACAGCATATAATTCTAAAAAAACTGCAAAGTTAATAAATAATTTATTTGAAGAAATGATAAATTATTGGATTAATTTAAAAAACCCAGATGATGATTCAACAATTATTGACGCATCTATTTGGATATTTAAGTATTCATTTGATTCTTTATCCACAATAATAACTGGTAGTCCATCATTTTCGATGCAATCTTATTATCAGGGATTAAAAAAAATCGATACTCAAGAAGACATAAAAAGTTTTGAGAAATATTCCAATTGCTTAAAACACTTTCAGAATGATAATCTATTGACATTTACACCAAAATTTTTAAGATATGTCCCTACACTCAGAGGTCGTATTCTGAGTTTACTAAATGATGTTAACTTTATGAAAGAAATGTGTATGGAAAAAATTAGAAGAAGGAAAAAAGAAATTGAAAAAATTGTTAAAATTGACCCGAAACAATTAGGAGATGATCTATTAACATCGATGATTGTTGCTAACACTCCATATGAAACTCATCCTCCAACTAATGTTGATCCTTCATTATTAAGGCCAATGACTGATAAAGAAATGATTGGTCTTTTGTTTGAATCATATGTACCTTCGGAAACTGTATGTAAAATAAAATGATTAGTGTGATGAGGTATTGTGCGAGTGATTTGTAAACACTTGACCTCCTTATACTAATTCTTGAATTCTTTAATGTTTTAGCATTATTATAATAATTACTAACTTATACGTATAATTGTTTTGATAGATCGCGAGTACTTTTTGCATTGTATTGTATTACATTTCACACCATCCAAACGTTAAAAAGAGATTATTAGAAGAGATAAAAACAGTTTTCAAAGATGATCCAACTAGACCGATAACTCTGGATGACCTTGAGAAATTAAGATATTGTGAAGCAATTATTAAAGAAACGTCAAGAATAAGACCTACAGTTCCCCTCGTATCAAGATATACTAATAAAGCTGATAAAGTAGCAGGATATAATTGGCCTCAATCTAGCAGTCATTTATTCATAATGTATGTTCGAGGGATTAATAATAATCCTCTTTATTGGAAAGATCCTGAAAAGTTTATTCCGGAAAGATTTTATGATTCCCAAGAAATTAAAAATCAACAGAAATTTTCATTTTCAATGTTTGGTGGAGGTTTAAGAGCATGTATAGGTAAAAATATTGCAATGCTTCAAATGAA